GGGGGACACATGCAATTGTAAACTCTAGATATCTCTTTTGGATGCTGCGAAGAACACGAGGAATCCCCTTATCTCTTTTGGATCTATATGATTTGGAAGAATTACAATGGGGTACCATATATGTGTAATGCAACTTCCAATCTTAGGCCAGAATGTGAAGAAAACAACCATGACATGCAATCAGCAGATGCTAATAACAATTTATATATTCATGCATATATAATAACAACATATATGTTCATGCATTTCTGCATTTTACCTTTTCTATATGTATGTATGCCCAGACTGATACACTAGGGTTGATTGATTCTGTCTTAAAAGTAGTGACCTTATAAATCTACTAGATGTGGTTTTTGACCCTGGGAATCTTGTTCCAAGTTAAGTGGCAGACTTCTTTTGCCTTTTGAAAACAAAACAAAACAAAACATTGTGATGGTCATCATAATGACCTCGTGGGGGAGGGCCTTCTCTGTGGCTGCCCCAGCTCTCTGGAACCAGTTACCTCCTGAGGTCTGGACCATCCCCACCCTACTGGCCTTCCGAAAAGCTGTGAAGACCTGGCTTTTCTGGCAGGTCTGGGGCCGTTGATCTCGCTTTGCAATCTGACGAGATCCAGCCATGAATGGTGTGAATGTGTTCTAAGGTTTTTAATGTTTTTTAATCTTTTAAATGTTTTTAGAATGTTTTTTTTAAAAAAACGTATTGTGAGCCGCCCTGAGTCTCCGGAGAGGGGCGGCATATAAATTAAATAATTAAATAAATAATTTATTTATTTATTATAAATAAATAAATAAATAAATAAATAAATAAAGTTTTGTTTTGTTTTCAAAATGCAAAAGCAGTCTGCCACTTAACGTGGAACAAGATTCCCAGGGTCAAAAACCATGTCTAGTAGATTTAGTTCCACTAGATGTGGTGTTGACTTCAAAGAGAATGTAGACAAATTCCCAGAGGGCAATTATATCATGACTACCTATACTCATCACGTGCCTAGGTGCTAGTCCCAGGCATGGAGGCAGTCTGCCACTGAATACTAAGTAGATGAGATCAACCATGTGGAAGAAGGCTGTCTTGATTTCCCTAGTTGTGGACTTCCCAGATACATCTGGTTGGCCAATATATGAGATGGAATCCTGGCTAAATGAGTCTAGACTTGACCCAACTGGGTGTATTCTCATGACCCCATTTTTGTCAAACTAAGTGGCTTTGAGTTCTGTTCTAGGGCAGTAGGTCAAAAAGCACATTGAGACAGGATGAAATAATTGGTAGGACCCAAATGGGGGGAAAAATGGGTGGGACCAGAACAAAAAACAGAAAGTCAAAGGGCTCTGATCTAGATTTTGAATGGAAAATACTTCTGCTATTTGACATTTAATGTGAAATGCAAGCAGAAGGCAATCCCCAGACTGAATTCTTCCAAGAAATGACTTCAATAATAAAAGATGAACACTTTTGTCCCAGTGAAATTTGCTCTCAGTTCCTTGGTATGCAAGATAAATGTCAAATACACCTGGGATTTTTCTGATTTTTGTTCACATTCTTTGCCACTACTAAGTAAGCCTTAGCATGATGCTCAAGCTAAGGAAGCTGTAGCAATTGATGTGGAAAGATCTCGGTTTCAGAAGAAATATTACATTCTAGACAATGGAAATGAAACTAGTGACTTGGTTAGATAGGGATCCATCTGCAACCGCAGCTGTCAGTATTGCACAATTTTCTATTCTATTTTACAATTTTGTTGGCTTCTAACTGATTCTGCTGTCGACTTGAGAAAAAAACCTTTCTTCTCGGAAGAAACTATACTTGATTTTTGAAAAATGACCATTCTTTTCTTTGCTATGAGTCAAATGTTTTCAGGAGATGTTCCAGAACAACCTCTGATATTGAAAAATACTTTGAAGGGGGAGTGTGTGAAATAGCCCTATTCTACTTTGGTAGGGATCCTATCTCTATGGAGTAAAGCTTTCTGGCTTGATGAAATATTGCGTCTTTTTTTACTCCTTGACAAAGAGATTTTGTGCATGTACAGAAGCCCCATTGGAGTGAAGTGTTATGGCTGCTTTATGCCTGTGTTTTGAAGCTGGAAGAAAGACACTTCACTGCATCAATGTGCTTTGGAGGGGAACTTTAAAAAAAGTGTTGCTGAGGTGAAGGATTCCTCTGAGCTTTTACAATTCTAGTTGAAGGTAGTCCATGTATAATTCTTTCTTGTTATCCCCATGCACTGCAACATGGTTTACCATTTCCTAAGGGAGGAGTTAAGGGAAACTGCAGTACCCCAGGCAGGGCTGCCTAACCTCTCTTAGGTAGAGAAGGCTACCAAAACAGATGTGACAATGAGGGGTCCTTGGTGCTCTCTGAGCTTTGCTGTTTTCTTACAGACCTTTCATCAGCCAAATTAGCACTAATGATGTTATCTAGTTTGGGTAATGATATGTCTGCAAGAAAACAACGAAGCTCAAGAGAGCACCAATAACCCCTCATTTCAACCCTGAGCTACTAATATTCTCCTTTAGATGTGATAATGAGTTACACCAACAGTCCCCAACCTTTGTGGCTTGCTGGCCTGGCAGGGAAGAGGGGGGACTGGGCCATGCACATGGCGGGCCAATATGCATGCACATGCATGCACAGATCAACCTGCGCAAGTTGAGCTGCCCGCGGCTCATGCAAGTCACGCTGTGTGTGCGCACACCAGCCCACCACTCACGTGGCCCAATTGTGAATAGGCCATGGCCCAGTTGTGGGCTGCAACCTGGGAGTTGGGGACCCCTGAGTTACAGTACATGCACAAAGTTAATGTGTATATTTTAAAAGATGGAAAGCAGCTATTGATGACTCCTATTTTGAATTACTTGTGATGCTGTGGAAGGCTACAAACAATCACTTCCCAACCTATTTTCTTAATCTGCATTTTATTCTTCAAAGATCTCATCTAATATTAGAGACACTCATCCTTCTTATTAGATCATGGGTGCATTAATGTTTGGGGCTCAGTCTACAAATGCCTATAAATTTCTTGTCAAGGCCATGCTTGATAGAATAGGTAGGACTATAATTGCACTCAACAATGAACTAAAGGGCCACCATCAGTGAACTGTTGGGCAATATTGGTCTGTTGTGTGGATGTTTGGGTGGTTTAGGGGTGGGGAATTGTGGTGGGTGGGAGTGTGGTTAGGGATTATTATGTGTGTTGGACTTGGTCTTTGGGTATTAAGTGAATTTTGTTGTATGGGTATACTGTGTATACATGTACAATGACAATAAAGTATTATTATTATTATTATTAGGACCAAGATCAGGGACTAATCAAAATGGGAGTGGGGAGCTAAATTGATTACCTAATTTAAAATTAAGTTGAGAGTAGTTGATATGAATATCCCTAATATTTATGGGTTTTTCTCTTTCTGTCAACCTCCTATTGTTCAGTAGCAACTGATAAAGAACCAACAGAAAGTAGGAGGTTGAAGCTACTCAGCCACAAGCTAACACAGGGATGGAATACTGAGTCTGCTTGCAGATCTATCCTTCTGCAGTGTTGTGGGACAATTTTTTTTAAAAAAAAATCTCTATTAGAATTATTATTATGGTTGGTTGCATAGTCAGCCAGTAGTTTAGACCTTCTCAAAGACCTATTGTAGGATAGGCAAATGTTAATTTTTGATAGTATCATTGCAGCATGTACTGTAAGCTGTTCCAAGTAAAGCTGCCTTTTGCAATTGGCCGTTGGTGATTTTGTCAATGCCGGTGGTGTTCAAGTGGTGCTCCAGATGTTTTGGGATTACTTCCAAGGCACCTACTGCTTTCTTTTGCCACAGTCGTTCTACTTCTGTTTGTAGATCTTCGTATTTTGTGATTTTCTCCAGTTCTCTTCTCATCTGCTGTGTCCAGGTACTACAGTGTCCACTATCCAGAATTTTTGTCCTTCTTTTCAACCATTGTTAAATCTGGGGTGTTATTATTATTTTTCACAGCAGTGTGAAATCACAGCTTCAGTTTGTCAGCTGATGTTAGCTTCATATGCATTGAGTTCTTAAGAATTAGGATGTTGTAATACAGTATAATGGTGCAGTATATGTGTGGATCTCAGCAGTGTTTCCTTTTGTAATTGACAGATGGAAATTTTGTGAGTGTATAGCTTTTCTAAGTTTCATCCAATATTTTTTGGTATGGCATCCAGTGAATCGGAAACTATTGGGACCACTGCAACCAGTTTATAATCTTTCAACTTTGATTTTTCAGATCTTAATACTTTGTGATCTTCTCCAATTCTTTATCTTCTGTTCTATTTCCCCCCTGATATTGCCACATCAATTGCCAACATTCTTCTTTTCAACCACAGTTAAAACTGGCGTGTTATGAGCCAAGAGTTTAACCGTTTGTATTTGGAAATCCCACAATACTTTAAGGTGCTCATTTTCGACTATGTTTTTAATTATGTGATCCCACCAGTTTTTCATTACTGACACAGGGTAATTTTTACAGGTGTTTCAGTGAATCATTTTGGTATTTGTGTTATGTTGTCGCTTATAATCAGTGTGATTATTATTATTATTTCAAAAGTTGATGAAATCATTGTCTCTTTGAAGAACTCCATACCAGCTTCTCCCAGTACTTTGGAGATAGGGGTTCCAGGCCAGGGGTGTTTGCAAAGAATGGATGCTCAAAACTTCAGGATAGCTTTGGGGAGTTTCTCAATCATAGTTTTGGGTCTAGGTGTGGAAGTATAAATAAAAATGATATTGTAAACCCCAACCCACTTTATATGAATTACACATATGTTAAAAAAAGGACTGGCTTCAAATGTATGGGCGCACCTCCTACCTTGACACCCCCCCCCTTGCAGACACCCCGTCATGAAGGGAATTTCTAGAACGGTGTTTTTCAAACTTGGCAACTTTAACATTGTTACAGGTTTCCAAGGATCTAACCCAATGATTCCAACATGAGGTATGCTTGGTTCAAGATATCTTTATTCATATCATTTGTCTCTGTTACAGGTCATCGTCTGGAATACCCTTGGGACTCCTGGACTGTGCCTTTTATACCTGGGAGGCGGAGCTAAGGTAAGGAGGGGTCAAGGGAAGGATCTGGTGGGTGGATGTTAACCCTTGTTGTACCATGGGCAAGGCATGTTAGACATTTACTTCTAACAAACATGAGTGCTATCAGCTGTCACCTTAAACTTTCTGTGGTTTGCTGTTGTGCGGTGACAGACTGCCATGAACTCTGGGGAGGGAGGATGCTTGGGGAATCGAAAGTAGAGACTGTACTGCCTTGAGACGCTGCCCCAAGGTCATCCCCACAATTCCTCAACCATCATGCTGGTCCACATTTGGACAGAAAATTCACATACAGTGAAAATTAACAGGATCTCAATAGGTAAGATTTGTTTGTTTGCCCTGAACTGTATGATGCATTTTTTAAAAAATGGATTATAGCTGATGGGCTATCATTCTCCAAAAATCCATTGTGCTCTTCAATCTCACATGAATCTTTTTGATAACTGAAACATGAATGTGGTGATGTGGACCAGAAGATAACATGTTATATCAACAGTTGACAATAGTATTTTTCTGGCTATTACAATAGAGAACATGCCAAATTTTGACACTGGACTGGATCATTATCATTATAAATGAAAACAACAAGAAAGACACGATGTGGGGAAAACTTAATGCATGACTGGATTAACGCTGCTGTAACTAGGCATGGTAATTCTGGAATGAAATACTTCCACTTATTAAAGATACAAGGTGTTGCTCAGAAATGGAAGAATTGCTTTTCCTTGGTGGAGAATTTTCTCCAGTCATAAAATGTAAAACAGAAGTTTCTCCCCATCCAAATAACTCCTTCCTCAAAGAAGGATCATCAAATAAACTAGCATACAAACAAATGGTAAATAAATAAAATGAGAACAGGAGGTACAAAATAAGTACAGGACAATCCTAGGCAAGATGTAATCAGGGGAAAACTAGGACCAAATCAGTGCATTGAAATATCTATTAAAGACGTCTGCATTCACAGTACTTGTCAGCGATGTTGAAAAAGATAACATCTCCTTCACATCATTTTCTTGGTAACAGCAAAGAAGTGAGTCAGTACCTTCTTTTTCAACAGTCTAGCTGTCAGGCTTGGAAGCCATTTTTTACAGTGGGCCTCAAGGCTGCCACATATTCTACTGTGGGAAACTGGGAGTGGGGATTGTATGGAGCATGGGAGATTTGTAGTCAAAATAACATTCTTTCTCAGAGAATCAAGGTCATCTTACCCCGGCACCTGGAGGGGCATCACTGGGAGGAATCTTCTTTTGGGACATTGACTGATTGGACAATGTGATGGGCATGAGGATGCTGGGACAGGGTCTTGAACTTTCAACTGGGTGGGGAAAACCTGGAAGCTTTCAGATTTGGGTTTTTCAAGATGTGTCAACATGGCTCTTATAATAAATTGGAATGTTGAGGAATCTCTAGCCTCGGATTCTTATTTAATTGAGGATGCTATTTGGAACCCTGACATTAGCCCAATTTTTCTCAGCTTTGGCAGTCTGAAGATGTGTTAGTTTCTGAACCCAGAAAAACAATGCTAAACTCCAGAACAATCAACATTTAATTCAGCACACTGAAATCTGTCTGAACATTTTATAAATTCTTTCTGCTCATTTTAGCTTTTATATTTTCTGCATTTCTCTTTTTTCTGCACTCTTTGTACCTTCACTGTCTGATTCGTTTCATCTAGGCACTAACTGTAATTTTGCAGAGTGTTCCCCGGAAACAAGAACTGTTATAAGAAAAGGGAAAATTACAGGAGCGGCAATGAAGCCAATAACAACAGCAACAGTAATCTATTATATTTGTTTTTCTAGTATGGAATATATGAACTGCAAAAAGTTTATATATTACTATGCGAGGAATTTTTGACTTCATAATGTAGAGTCTGTGCACGCTGTACTCAGAAATAGGGGGTTTAATGGATCTAACTCCCTTTAATTGGATTACCGAAGTGCAGCCTTAAATTTATTTCAAATAAATACAAAGGTCTTCTTGCTTCTTGCTAGCATTGTCACTGAGCATCCCGCCCGCTCCCTACTTTTGGCAGGCTGTCAGCCCAAAACAGCAATAAAGTCTTCCTTCTGGTGGTAAGTGCTGCAATGTGCCAAGTCATTAAAAACGACCTGGTTTGGGTTAAAGAGCAGCAGCTGTTTAATATGGTTGGGTTCAGCTTTGAGTGCATTTCATGCTGACACATCCTCACTTTGGGGTCACAAATAAGGGCTGTAATTGGTTGGATGTGAGCAGCCCTGGAGAAAATCCCCACTAGGGATTTTCAGACAGAGAGAGAAATTCCTCTTGGCTCTGATAGGGCTTTAGAATTAAAAACCCGTCATGAATGTTTATATTGAAGGGAAAAGTCAGGCTGTTCTGCTAAAGGAGGACAGGGACCTGTTATCATCAAAGATTGGAACAGTGTTTTATTCAATAGGAATTTTGTGGCGGGACTTCTAAGGCACTTCGTGTCTGTCATGGCCAACCTGGGCAAGGACAAGCTGAATTGCTTGTCAATGAAAAGCACAGACACCCGCAGCTTCTTGTGAATTTTTTCTGTGTCATCCAACTCTCCAAGGTTGGAAAGTTTGGATTTGTAAACCAATGCTGTTGGCTTATGAAACTATTGTTCTAAAATACATGTGCTCCATAGCCTTTAATGAAGTAAGTGCCGTTATGAGAACTTTGGCTTCTACCCCTTTTGGGTACTTCTTAAGTAATGCTTAGATGTAAAAGAATGACCGGAGAAAGAAAGAAACAGGAGAGGAAGGTTAATGACGTCTTTCAGTACATCAGGAAGCAAGTTTAGAGAAGAGGGTGGCACGCTGCTAAATGGTTCCCTCTGGATTTCTAAGGTCTGAGCATCTGTATTTCTTTCTTCCTCCAGTCTCTACACACTTCCATAAGGGAAAAAGAAAGATTTCCTGCCCAGTTACTTAAAATTTACTTTACTTGCATAGTTCGTTATTATATATTTAATTTGTCAACTGTAAATAGGTGCATTTTCAGGCTTGGGACCAACTCAAAGAGTTGTGCAATGGGAGAGAAATGGCCATTTAGCAACATTTAGGGGGGGGAAAAGTTTTGAATGTTCATTTATTTACTGATATCTACACACATGCCTATTCATGGTCTTATGGGGTAAAGAACAGCCTGCAAAATGCCCAAAGAAAAAGAAATTAAAAATAGAAGCAAAACTATCTAAATCTACTTGACATGAACTTCACTGATCTCTCTTGAAAACCATCCTTGTTTCTAACTTCTCCTTCTGCCTCTCCCTCCTCCTCCTTTTTTGAGGACCTCACAGTTCCATCTGAACATGGCATTTCTTGATCTTTCCCTTCCTCTCGATGCATTCACTCTTTCTTCATATATTTGTGCTGCTACTCTCCATCTACTTCCAAGTTAATGAATTGCAGGCAGCAACATGTTGATTTGTAAGCTTGTCTCTAGATCAGGGATCCCAGTTTGACATCTTGTTAAGGAAGGAATTGCTGTATTATGATATTCAGCCAGTTTGAGTAGATGCTTTCTACCTGGAAGCACCTGGAAAACTACATTCTTGATCCGGCCTTTACTACCTCATATGTAATTGAGCTTTTTAAATGCCTCAGTATTTCATCTACATGATTTATACATCAAAAAAGGTGTTTGCACGCAATTTCCAAGTTTGTTTAAAAGCTTTTCCATATCTATGGGCATTATATATTTAAGGCAAGTACTTTTGAATCATCTACGTAACAACATCACCAGATTAGAAACATATTAAATTGCATGGCCTTAATTCTCTTTCTGTTTAGCCTAAAGGCTTAAAGATACTTTGGACAAAACCTGCTGTGTTACTTTGGTACCCAAATTTTATTCCTGTTTCTCCAGTCATCCATTATGTGATTCATTGTTTAGAAGCATCTTTGGGTCCTTGCTTTGGTATGTATTATTCACTTATAAACATTTGATTCCCCTTCATATTTAGGTGCTACAAAATATTCCAATGAGCCATCTCTTTTTATAAGTATTCATTTTGTCCTCATCTTGCTGCCTTGTTTTTCCCTTTTCCCCTCCAGTCTGTGGCTATTTATACTGGTATATGATTTATCATGGGTTCTCCCTTTCTCAGAACTTTCTAAAATAGATATAAATAACACTCTTAATAAGGTAAGATACTTCCAGGTAGGAACTGGCTGATATCATAATGCAGCAATTCCTTCCCTAACAAGACATCATGATAAGAAAAAGCACATGAAACTATTTTTGTTGTGCTTTTGAGACAGTGCTGACTCCTTGCAACTACCTGGACAAGTCCCTGAAGGATTTTTTTTTTTTTGCAAGATTTCAGAAGTGGTTTGTCATTGCCTGCTTTTTTGGGAGAGGGAGAGAGAGAGTGACTAGCCCAAGCCAATCAGCTGGCTTTCTGCCTAAAGCAGAACTAGAATTTACAATCTCCAGCTTTCTAGCTTTATGTCTTTAACCACTGCACCACACTGGCTCTATAGAATGGTTTAAAATGGAGGATGATTTCACTGTCAGAGCGAAGAAATAATCCCATAATGAATTTTTCTCTCCTCTTTAGAGCACATTAACTATATGATTGAATGAAATGTGCATTTTTTTTCAAGGAACAATAAGAGATGAACTATGGGCTAGTTTGGTAATATTCCTTGCCTGGGAAGGTAGCAGTTGTCCTATTCCTTCTTGTTTCTAAACTGGAATTAATAAAAAAAAAAACCAGAGGACAATAAAGAAAAGGTGACCATAAGGAAAGGCTATGCTTGTTTTAGATGACTGCTTATTCCTTGTGGCTCCAGAACTTGTTTTTGATGGCTTCCAACCATGTTCCTGATTGCACTGCTTAAATTTGGAAGCAGCCTGCTGGACAACAGAGGCATTGTATTCTACTGGTGTTAGATAGGGAAATAAATAAAAATAATAAGATGAGTAGTTCAGAGAACCAGTAGCGGAAATTTTGAGTAGTTTGGAGAACCGGCAAATGCCATCTCTGGCCTGCTCCAAAGTGGGGTGGG